CTCAGTGCGATGGTTTCAATGGCTTCAGTTCTGTGTAGTTGAAGCTAACTCAAGCCTTTCCGTTTAAAGACTGTAAGTCTACTATGAATACATGTTCAACATTTCAGCCGCTCAATACCAACCGACAGATTTTACAATAAAGGTGTGCAGTGCATGTAGAAGAGCTCTCAGCCTTATCCAGACCACTTACTGAACAAAACTGAATGTGTGGCCACTTTGTCGTTGAACTACGAACTCAAAGAGTTGAAAAATTGTGGTCACCTCCGCCATAGGCAGTGACACAAAGAAACAACCCTAGCTGGTTTCATCCTCGTTATGACTCACCAGTACAGCACAGTCAGATAACTTAACACTTTGGGACCCCATTAACACTTACCTAAAAAGGCAACAATTCAAATCTGTAAATGAAAAAAAAAGACTCCATCCCAACTCTTTCAACTGCCATTTATGATTCTTTAAGAATGGATTATACCTTCACAGACAGCTTGTACATTGCCTAAAACTATGAAAAATGATACACGCAGAAAAGTTAAATGCACACGTTCAGCTTACTTTAATGTCAAACAGAGGAATGTAGATTAACGGCAATTACCATTTAAAAATCAAGACATATTTGGTATTTCTTTAGAAGAAACAAAGCATCTGAATGGTGACATCGGCTTAAGCGATGTATAAACCTTACGGCACGTGTGACGTTAATTCTAAAATAAAAGCTTCCACCAATAAGAACACATTGATAACCATCAAATCACATAAGAGTACTCACAATGACATGCTCCAGACATTGCCAATAGCACAATCGGCTACCAGGAGGTTTAAAATCAATTCAGACACATGAAGAGATTAACAACATATTTACTTTCCACGTACCTTTTCTACATTGTAGAGGCATAGTTGAATACAGACACTAATTGCATCCTTGAGAAAAGCATTCTGTACGGTACTTACAGTCAGTAGTGTGGAGTGCTTGGCTTGACCCCTGGTGCAAGGAATGAAACGGGGGGGGGCTGCCTGTCTTTCTTAACGTGGCCCTGTACCAGAGCCCCATCCAGCCCATGGGCCCCAGTGAACTTGCACCACCTGCACACTCGATAGCTATCCCACTGCAAACATTGTCAACCCCTAGGAGCCAAAAACATCTGCAGACCTCTCCACAAAGATCCAGTGTACGTAAGTCTTGCACCGCAAGCAGCTCCCTGGCACACACAATAGTTATCTGCGCAAGCGCTTATTATTAACACAGCAGTTCAGTCCGCAGTGGTACAATAGCGTGCGGAGACAGTAATTAGGAAGGTACCAACATTGCGAACACCTGATAGTGTTTTTAATAATCAAATCGTAAAATAATTTGTACATTTGATATGTGTGCCATTATTATAGCGCAAGGCTATCACGAAGGCGTTATCTTTCACAGTCCGCAGACATTTTGCAATACGAGGCGTTGTTGTTCTGCCTAATGCCAATTGAGTACTTTTGGGGTAAACTTTAGAAGCAGATCTTAGAAGCAGTTCCGTAATATCTGCTTCCGTGGGTCATTCTCTCGAATAACATTTAACGCTTTTGCTGAGATGCAAATGGATTCTTCACATCATGACGATGAATCTCATCACCGAAAGCATGATTGGGATGAAATTTGACGGGAAAAAAAACTTCATCGAATTCAGAAATGGCAGACCAATAAAAAAAATTGTTACAATCACCCTACATAGCATGCTCAACTGGCAGAACGTTGGTGGCAGGGTGCAGGAAAGCGTTCAATTGCAGCGGGCTGCCACTGCTGCCCTTGCCGAACTGGCACATCACAGTGGGTAGAACTGCGACGCCGCCTCAGACGACTGCATTTCCACCTGTGCCATCTTGAACTGCGTGCATCGGAGCCACTGTTGGAGGTGGGGAGGCCCGCGTTCGGCCGACATGCAACCAAATGCGTTGGAGAAGGGCGCGGAGGCCGGCTGGCAGGGCGACGGGCCGGCCAGCCCCACACCCGGAGAGCGTACACGGCTCTGGACGGCTTGCAGCCTCAGCCGGAGGCCTCCCGACAGGTGCTGCAGCGCAAACAGGACGAGTCGCGGTTATTATTATTATTGATACTCTTGTTTACCCAGAAAAGCCTTCAGTAGGGTCCTGCCTATCTGTTTGTGGTGATATTGCCGTGTCTAATCCTAATTTAGTCATTTGTACGTAATTTTTCAGCATTGGATGTTTGGCAAATATCAGTTACTGGAGAACATGGAGAACAAAAAATTCCATGCAAAAAGGTGCCCGAGCCGGGAATCAAACCCAGGCCCCTTCTTTCTGTGAAACACAAGTGTTACCACTGCGTCACCCTGCCGGTAAACGTTCATTTACGATACAATTTACCAAGTGATTTGGATTTATAGAGAATATCTAAATGTGACCGCATCTCCATCATACCGACAAACGAGCTGATGTCATGCATTCTATGATGAGCGCAGCCCAACATCAGATGTGTATAAAACTTCAACATATCTTGACCATACCTAATGCAAAAATACGGTTGATATTTTTTTTATTTTTTCTCATTACAAAATGTTGTTTGTAAAACCACATTGCATTCGTTTACATCGGAGCTGTTTCTCAGTAGCAGCCCCTGCCATCTGCCAACGCCATCAACTTCACATTTGCAGCAGCAGCAGCGCTCACTCTCCTCCAACTTTCAAGAGACACTTCAAGGCCCCACCTCTCTCGCCTGGGTTTCGATTGGCACAAAGCTTGGCTCGATGCCTCAGAATTACGGTGATGTATGTCTGTGACATATTGCGTGTGTTACAAATTGCATTATTAATGGAACGACAGTTCGTTTTTCGTGTCAAAAAGCATCAATTTGCTTTATAAACTTTTTTGAGGGTGAAAATAAATTATATTAGAATACTTTTTATGGTCGATTACACGGGCCCCTTTAAATTGGTGGCCACCAAGACATCCTGCTTGATGAAGGCTGGAAACCCCCGACGAACCTAACCGTAACCCATAATGTCTCAGCCAGAGGCACACCTGGCACAATGGTTACTTTTTCACAATAATTTTTGTGTTATCTAGTTAGTCGAGTAATGAAATCGATAATCTGTATAGTTTTAAATTATTTAAATAATCGGAGAGCCCAGCATGAGAAAATATATATTTAATGACACATTAGAGCACACACAATTCCTTACCTTAGAGTTGGAGTTGATCATCGGTAACCACATGGGCAGAAGCTGCATGTGGAAATGACGGGAGAGAAAAGGTGAAGTAATAAAGGTTTCGCGTTCATTTGTCTTATATTAAATGGTGCTGAAAATAAACGAATGACATGTCACGTAATCCATTTGTGAGCAAGTGTGCTGAACAACAACTGCCTGGTACTGGCAGAGTTTGACTGGCCCAGTGAGCAATGAGGCATTGGCCTGGAAATCCAGGCCTGGAGTTGAGTAATCATCTCAGCCCAACTTATATCTAATCTACAATGATCGGTCAAAAGAGGCCACTCTCTAACACATCCAGTTGTACTGCTCTCTGTGATTGTTCAGATAGGGAATGTCCTCATATTGTGACATAACACCAATGAGCACAATTGGAATATAATTAATTAATAAACAATTAGTAATACATACAAATACATGATAAATAAGAATGCATAGCACTCTAGATCCTGGCCCAGTTCGAGTCTAGTTAAAGGGTGAGTACCTTGACTAAAATGCTGGAGTTGCAGCCCTGCAAGGCCTCCATGAGGCTGATGACGTGCAGGCTTACCATCTCCACCAGCTGGAACAGACACAGTCATCACCATCGAGCACACAACGTGAGAACGTTATAAATCCTATAGAAGACAAATGCCGTTACACACCGTATTTATGGTCCTGTGCAGCTTCCATGGCTCTTACGACTGGTACGTGAAACCCATCAATATTTAACAAGTCTCCAAACTGGTCATTATCTGCAATGTGACATTTCCTTTGGGTCACGTTACATCACAGCTACATTTTCTCCATTCAATTCCCAATTGTTCTCTCCACTGTCTTTTCTATTCCTCACATTCTTGGCCGTAATCCCATTTGCTATTTGGCACATCCAGCAGTGATCGCGAGTGAAACGTGGCTGGGTGGCTCAGTGCTGAGCTTGCAGCGCTGAGATCCTGGGTTAGAATCAAGGCAACTGCCTGCGATTAAACCAGGTTTTCAAGCATCGTGGTTTTTTTGGTTTAAGCTTGGTCTCCAATGATCAAGCAAAAAGGCTCATCGCAGAGATAACGTACGAACACTTTTCCGCCATCATTGTAAAGCGCCAAGAAGGCGGGGGTTAATATGCGGCGGCACCATGCACCCGTACGGTACGGTTGTGCGCCATGAGCTGCAGGATGCCGGGAGTGACGCGGCTCCAGAACTCCATGGCAGTGAGCGCCGCAGCCGAGCCGGCCTCGTTGAGCGTGGGCGTCCCACCGCCGGGTCCACCGAGCTGCTCGCAGTACACTGTCCACAGTTGAGCGAACACGAACGCGTGGAACAGCGACGACATGTGGACCACCGAGGCCTGGGAACACGGGCACATTGGTCACACGCTGTCTTTCTGGAGCCTGCAGCAAGGCAGCAAGAAGGCGGACGGAGGAAGGGGAGGGAAAGCCATCGACTTTGTGAGGTTAAGCCTCACCTTGGAGTGCTCCGAAAAGCCCATGATGATGACGAGCAGGTGATCGGCCACGTGGGGCCCAGCGTCGAGCGGGATGGGGGTACAGGCCGGAGCCATCGGGGAGCTCACGCTCAGGTGGTTCAGCGAGCCAAGCAGCAGCCACGACAGCAGGCGAATATGCGACACGCACTCTATGAACTCCTTGGGTCTGCAGTGAACAACAACAACAACAAGAATAGAAAGGCCAGCGCTGCTGTAAATGCCTGGCAGCCCCGCCAACAATTACATAGCAATGGCAACTCACCCGCTAGCCTCCTCTAGTGAGTGGCCTCCTTGCTCTCTCTTACATTGACCCTGTCGACTACTGATAGGCCACCCTATTCCCCTACCAACTTCTCCATACTATTCAGGTAGCCCTACCCTTCCTGCCCTTTGCTGCACCCACTGCCCAAAAGGCCCCATCCTTTGTCTGTACCGTGAGCCTAGCACGAAGCCAGAATATTTTAAGCTGTAGAAAAATTCAGATTTTCAAAAATGCTTCGAGTCACAAGGATAGACTGACTCCTCACAGGACGCTGGTCACTGAAAAGCATCTATTTGACAAAATGTAATGCTAACCATTTTAATTGAAAATAATAGCCGATGGAGTTTGTGATATTGATTTTTTTAGCAAAGGTGATAAGTGCACATGCACACGTGCATGTCTATGTGTGACTGCTTTACATCTGCGGAACAGTTAACGTAAAATGCTGCGAACCAGGCGACCCGAGTTCGATTCCTGCTCACGGTCAACACCAGTGACAGTCCTGGGTCTCCTTAGAGACTCAGCCTCAAATGAGAACCTAGTGTGATGTGTAAACATCGTGACTATGGATACAAAGGCGGTTGGGCATAGTGCTGGCCACCTACCCCCTCGTGCGCCGTGCCAGCCTTCATAGGTGCACGTTAGCAGTATTTTCCCCATGAGTCTATCAAGACTATAAAGGGGAATTGTTGTCTTTGTGTTTGCTTGATCCTATCAAGACCAGTTGGTGCTCGCGTGCAAAGCTGACCCTTGCTGCATGGTGGAGGGTGGGTGGAAGAGCCAGGGCAGGCAGCGCATAACCGCCTTGTTATCACGGTGATTTCCCCGCGTTATCTCCATCGCCACCACCTGCGACAGCCCCACCTTGAGCTGGCCGCCAAATGTGTCCTCATGCAAGCTCTGGGCGCATGCCTTCATGTGCGTCTGTGGTGGAAACGCAGTCATATTCACAAACGTATGTTAGCAGTCTAAAATAAAAAATTACTACCTAATTGAGCATTGAGGTAATGTGCAACTCCTATTACAATCCGGTCGTGAAATTCCACATCCCTATCGCAGAAGGAAGTCTGTCCATAGGATAACCATTGTTGACTTTCCCGCAGAGTGGTACAAAAATGTGAGTAGCCCAATAATATTATTGGCGAGCATCGAGAATAAAAATGGTTGTAGAATGGTGTGCAGGGTGGGGGCGGGGTAGTGCACTGTGCTATAAACCCGGCGCCATAAGTTTGATCCCTGTACAGATACACGATAGCTACAGTGTCAACTCCTGGGCATGTCACGGCCGAGTTTTACAAAAACCCTTGCATCTAAAGTGCACATGTAACCATACCTGACTGTTCAATTAAAAGTCATACATGTATATAAAGTTGTGTTAACATTAGTAAAACACAATAAATGCAAATTTATATTAATAATGAGTGCTTCCTGTAAAAGACATACTCTGAGCTTGGTGAGTGTATGCAGATCGGCGATAAAGTCCAGAATGTCCATCAGGTACTGCCTGACGCACTCCATGGCAGCCGTCTGGCACTATAACAGAACAAGAGAGTCGGTATCTTGTCAGAGAAATTCAGCGACACGGATGTGCTCACTCACTGTGGCAGAACCGTGCGAGGACTCACTGTTGGTAAGTTGTTGATGATATTTTTCTGGAGGATCAAGGAGCTTGCCAACCTCGTGCCTACATCCGAGCAAATAAACTGGGAAACAAAATACAAAACACACCAAGCAGGTCAAAATGACGTGTGTGTGGGCGGCAGGGTAACACAGTGGCAACACTTGTGCCTCAGCAAAAAGGATCTGGGTGCATTCTATGTAGAGTTTGTATGTTCTCCCCATTTTGCAAAGTGTTGAGAGTGAGTGAGAGTGTACGAGTATGTGGAATGTGTATGTTCTCCCCCTCTGAATTATCTGGTTCCATCCCATAGCAATGTAACTGATATTGGCCAATCCTTCCAATGCTGAAAATACCTGCAAATTTCTCATTTCGGATTCTACATAGCAACATCGCCCCCATCTGTGAAAACTTTGCAATTGGGGGTTATGCTATCTAGGGATGTTATCTTCCAGATTCGACAAGATAAAACTGAAAAGGTGTCTTGAGATTCAGTAAGGCTTTCCTGGATATATAAGTTTAATACTATTATCTAGGTTACAACACCAATTGATAGGGCATTGTTTAATTGTCATCAGAGCTAAGAACCCACACCTGAACAAGGTAGAGAATGTTTGTGTCCTGCAAGGTGGACTTGAACTTCAGTGCTTGTAACAGCTCAAGAACGACACTCCGAGTCAGATAGAGCTTGTCTCTCTCCTGGGGGAGAGAAAGTAAGATCCTGCCTGAGAAAATGTACGGCACTTTTTCCGAGAATGCTTGACTTTATAAAATAATTACTTTATTCAGAAATTCCAATGTGCTGACAAATACATTAATCAATGAATGTATAACTTTCTCGTGCCATTACCTTTGTAAATCCCTTGTAGCAAAGGGCGCAGAGTTCCATGACATAAGCCAGATTAAAGTTGGAGTTTTGGATCACAAAGCCGAGCAGCTTAGAAAACTGTTCAAGCAGACTCTAAGATTCAACAAGATAAAACGGAAAGTTAAAAAATGACAACACCTCCTGCTGTGTAGACAATTTAAACAAGACAGTTAACTTACTACTGTGCATTGTTATTTCATGTCGAGATTGTACTTTTATTTGTTTTTTTACTGCAAAACAATTCCCTGGAGGTAGTGGCCCACGTACCCGTGTGGCGACGGTTGCAGGGATCTTGAGGAGACTGATCATGATCCGCAGGCAAGAGTCCAGGCAGCACTGGCACATACCACATACATCTCGTTACTTTGCATCAGCACCAAAATGGTTCAATGTGTGCACAGACTTCATGCTTTCACATTGGCTCCAGCCTATTCCCAGGACCTGGTGATGACACCCAACTATGGCCGGGCGGGATATTATTACATGTGATGTGTCAGCTGCCCTATTGTGAAAAAGAAAATGTAGTACAAGTAAAACCTTGGATTGCGAGTAACTTGATCTGCGAGTGTTTTGCAAGACGAGCACATTTTTAAAATACATATTCATTTGATAAACGAGCGAGGTCTACGCTTTGTCTGCCGAGCGTCACGTGATCACAACTGATACGAGTGCTTTGGATTACAAACACGTTTCCGGAACGAATTTGCTCGCAATCCAAGGTTTTACTGTACATGGAATAACCCAGGGTTATTCCCAATTCATTCATTCTCTATTTTTTTACAAAAAATTTAACTGACCAAGCTTATAGAATAAAAAATGCAAGGCTATGAAAGGGTTAACAAGTACAAAAACACAATTTATATAAGTATGCATTTTAAATGTGACTCTTGATAAACAAAAATGTAATGATCGACACTGGATTTTCTGCAGCTACTGCTCTCCCTCAGTGTGGGTCCTTAGTCTACCTTGACAGGCAGGACTGAGGATAACTTGGGCAAAAAGGTTTGGAAGTGGTTACAGATGCCAGCCCACAGGTTGCTGGGTGACTCCATGGGCAATGCCTCCATGAACGTGGCCAAGTTGTCGAGGCATCTGAGCATTGCTCCCCCATCGGCAGGTTTTTCTTGCCATTGAGGCCCTGGAGGAAGAAACTCAGTGGGCGTCACAGTGTCAGGCATGGCCCGCTTCAGAAACAAGGCACACTACGGAGAGTTTTGCGAGTTCACGTCACACGGCAACTGATTAAATCCGCTTACCTCGAGGAGAATGTTCAGGGCAGCAAGCGAGCTGAGTTCTGAAAAGTCAGACAGGGCTGACGACAGCGTTCTTAGGAAGTTTGTATCTAAAAAAAACAAGTAAACAAACGAATTGAAGTATTAAACATATAAAACATTATAGATTATGATGAGAGAATTATGGGGAGCTGCTGTGGTATGATGGTACATTGGATTTGCAATTCAGACCGGTATGAATCCACCTTCCGGCACAGCAGTTGAAACGACAGCGCAAATTTATAACATGCCCCCGCCTCCGTCCACCCCGTAGTATAGATGGCTACACCACAGAGTTCGTCCACCGGCAGGTCGCGTGTTGTGAGGGTAAAGTGTAGGAATACACACCTCTGTCAACACGTCTCGTCAGTGTGGAAGAGTTTCAAACACATGCACTGTGTGTACAAAGAGCTCATAGCATTGAGCATCATGCAGAATCTGTGAACTTTTTAATATTCATCTTGTTTTTTCTTGTCATTTAGAGAAATGGATTAAAGTAGAAAAATGGACCAAATAAACTCTACAGTGTTGATCTCGTAGAGCCCCTTCCACCAGTCGTGGCATGAGCAAGCAATTGCAGGGCAGCACCTTTATCCTTTTTTTCAACGTGAATATGTATCCGTGTGCTTATTTATAAAAGGTTGCATTAAGCATAAACCATTATTTTACATAGCAGGAGTGCACACTTCCTGTACACTCCCAGAAGGCCTTGGGGTTGATGGGTAGTGTAACATAAACTGTATACTTTTACGTGTAGATATATATGAAGAAAAAAAATATCTGCTTATTTATTTTATTTATATTCTGCACAACACAAAATGATCATTACGTGTTTATAGTGGATGTTGTGGCTGTAAAAACCAACGAATCATGACGAGTTGCACCGCATTTTGGTGTCTCTCTCCCCCCTCTTCTGGACATTTATAACACCCGCATCACCAGCAAAGCAATCAAGATTGCAGGTGATCCCACCCACCCATCTCACAGCCTCTTCAGTCTGCTGCCGTCAGGGAGGAGACTGCGGAGTCTTCCAGCCAGGACCAGCAGGCTCAAAGACAGTTTCTTTCACCAGGCTGTCAGGAGACTCAACTCCCTCCCTGCTCTACCATCACTCCCCCCTCTGCCCACCCACCCCCCTTTGCCCCCTGACCCCATCCCCCACACACACATTCACTCGTACATCCTGATCTCTGGACTGCACATTGCACTACATCGCACTACCACACTGGTTTAAATATCTTATTTCTTTAAATACTTTATTTAAATAATATTTTACATTTTAAAAATTCTTGACTGTTGTTTATTTTAAGTTTATTACATTTTTGATTATTTATCTTGTGTTGATCGCCGATTGTTTATTGTTTATTTATGTCTTTTAATTGTGATTAATTTTTTTAATTGCTTGGTTGCACCGTGGGACCAAGAGAGAGGACTGTAATTTCATCTATGTTGTATGTCATGCATGTAACACACTTGACAATAAAGTGACTTTAAGACTTTAAGACTAAAGACTTAAGATTTACAGCAGCCTTGTGTGTGCAGCACTTCCCTGTAAAATCCACTTAACATGGGAAGTGAACAACCATCACACACACACACACAGAACTGCATACAGTTTGAAGAAGGACCTTTGATGTTGCTTTGGAAGAGCTGTGGCAGGATGCCATTCGGAGCGAGCTGGTGGAAAACGCAGCGCAGAAACTGCTTGGCGACGCCAGGTGCATTACCCGGAATCACCACACTGGGGACACAGAACAGGAAAGTAATTATAAGCCACCATGTGACCGTTTCACCTCATCTATACGATGTTTAATCACAATACCGCAGGTCACAACACTTATCCGTATGCTTCTTCCCTTGAATTGCACTACTTTTGAATTCCTTCCCTTCATGTCCTTCCGTAAGCTGTTATAAGCTTGCTCAAATCAATAAAAGTGTTAACTCTATTTTTATTTTGATAGTGCTCTTTGTTGCTAGCTGCCCTGCCTGAAACGTTGAGCCTTTGGGCCTGAGCTCAGTAATGAGTTTAAAACGAACCCAAGAGTCATTCCAGCTGACTCACCCAGCCCAGCTCAACCTCATCACACTGGAAATAAAGCATAACAGCAATTCACCCAGCACAAGAGCCATTCACCCAGTCCAAGTCTTCATTATGGTTGTAAAAAGGTAGGGTCCACGGCTAACTTTGAGCTACAAAGACATTTCCGAACTGCAAGGCACAAACTACCATGATGATCGGAGCCCGTCATCATGACATGCAAGATGTTCAAGCACCCACTGTGCATATGGAGCTATTTCACGTAAAAGTCAATAATTAGAAAATAACAATCGACATCTTTCATCATACGTTACAACACACTGCAGCAAATTTCCACGGTACAGGGGAATTGACGCAATGAAGGCATGACTTCATCCTACAGTGATTGAAAGTTGAGGCTAAATCATCGTTAGAGGTCAAATATCCAGGTTTTGGTGCTCGTTTAGGATTGCCAAAGGTGAGGCACAAGAAGTAAAAACAGATACGTGGGAACACATTCCTGTGGAGGGAGCTGGTAGAAACGTTGGGTTGCTCGGTCAATGGCCAGGGTCAACGGCAGCGTGGTGTATTCCGCAAATATGGCCGACTGTGAGGGCGGGCACAAGCCGGCGTGAGTAGGTTAAACGTTGAGTTTTATAAGGGCACCACGGGGTGACCAGCCCCTCCTCACCCAGCCCCACCCATCCCACCCCCTCCCCACCCTCCCCACCCAGCCATTCCCACCCAGCCCCTCCCTCCCAACCCAGCCCCTCCCTGCACGATGGACGGACACAATAATCCTCTGTGGGCTGGTGTAACCAGGAGGTTCCTACCAGTATAAACTTACCTCTCTGTTTGCCATGGATACGTCGCACTGGATGCCAGTCTAAATGTCAACATGTAATAAAGAGCAAGAGTCATGCAATAGTCAGTTACGGATTAATATGAAAACTGATACCCATTTCATACGAAAGATTTGTAATTTTTGTCAATGAGGTGGTTTGGTGAACTGAAAAAAATGTGCCCATGACATGTAAATGTGCATGTAATCTGCTCAGCCACTTGATACAAATCTGCTCCAAATAATAAAAGAATACGAATTCAACTGCATAGGTCTTCAAGGTTGTGCTGTATAGCTCGGTGATGTGTTTCAGGTTGTACCGCACTGTGTAGTTTTTCACGATGTGAAAGTTTCGCTGCATGACCTAGGCGAGCCGAGAATCTCCCGGCACATGGAGCAAAACGTTGGACATCATCGTGCCGAACAGCACGCGGCACAACCCAAGACGCATCGGAGAGCCATATATATTCTACTATAGGTAAAAAGTAATTGGTACCAACGAATAAACTCCTATAAGAATAGGTTTTACCCTTTGCTGGCAATAAAACAGGTGTTAATATGTTAAAACACCAAACAGAAACCTTTTTCAAGGAATCCTGAGCTATAAATGCCCTGATAGTGCATTCTCTTTGTGTCGTTTGCTTTTTGGCGTTCTCTGGTCTAACACTGTGAGACGAGGCTCTAAAGAAAGCTGCCTCTGGTGTAGACCAATCAGTTTCAAAGACAATGCATATATTACACTATGTAACACAATTTTTGTTCCTGGGTAGTAAGTGTTATTTCGTAATTGCTTATGCCTAAAAAGTATAAAAATGGCTATTATTCCCCACAAACTTTGCTTTTGTGACCAGGACAGTGATATTTTGAAATTTACCTATTTTCAATGAGAAAACAGGACGAATTTGTGTCTTTTCGTTCACATAAAGTCAAAAAAACAACATTAATCAAAATTAACATGTATTTATACTAAAGTAATACAAAAATTACTACAAAAGATTTAGAAGTGAGTAGTTTTTCGAGATTTACGATTTACTGTAAATCACTTTCACGAATCAGCCCCAAATGTAGTCTCCCATCATGTTCTCGTTATACTGTCCTTGGTAGCGGCGTTCAAAGTCCAGTATATCCTGGTGGAAGCGCTCGCCTTGCTCCTCCGAGTAGCTCCCATGTTCTCCTTGAATTTATCAAGATGAGCATCAAGGATATGGACTTTGAGGGACATCCTACAGCCCATTGCGCCATAGTTCTTCACCAGAGTCTCAACCAGCTCCACATAGTTTTCGACCTTGTGATTGCCCAGGAAGCCACGAACCACTGCGACAAAGCTGTTCCAAGCCGCTTTTTCCTTACTAGTGAGCTTCTTGGGGAATTCATTGCACTCCAGGATCTTCTTTATCTGTGGTCCGACGAAGACACCGGCTTTGACCTTTGCCTCAGACAGCTTAGGGAAGAAGTCTTGAAGGTACTTGAAGGCTGCCGACTCCTTATCTACAGCTCTGACAAATTGTTTCATAAGGCCCAATTTGATGTGCAGTGGTGGCATCAGCACCTTCCGGGGGTCCACCAGTGGCTCCCACTTGACGTTGTTCCTCCCACAGAGAACTCGGTCCGCTGTGGCCAGTCCCACCTGTGGTAGTGCGCCTTGGTGTCCCTGCTGTCCCAAAGGCAAAGATAGCAGGGAAACTTGGTAAAACCGCCTTGGAGACCCATCAGGAATGCCACCATTTTGAAGTCTCCGATGACCTCCCAGCCGTACTCATCATACTTCAAGGCGTCCAGCAAGGTCTTGATGCTGTTGTAATCCTCTTTGAGGTGCACCGAGTGAGCCAGGAGAAGAGACGGGTACTTGTTACCATTATGGAGCAGCACGGCTTTGAGGCTCCTGGATGAGCTGTCAATGAAGAGGCGCCACTCATTCTGGTTACAGGCGATTCCGATTGCCTCGAACAGACTGGTCACATTGTGGCAGAAGCAGAGCCCATCTTGACGGGTGAAGAAGCTGCAAAAAGGTTGGTGACGCTTCCTCTGATCTGCGACTTGCACACTTTCATCCAACAAGTTCCACTGCTTGAGCCTCAACGTCAAAAGCTCGGCATTGGACTTGGTGAGATCAAGATCTCTGATCAAGTCGTTGAGGTCTTTTTGGTTGGGGTAGTATGGGTTTCTCTCCTCAATTCCACCTCTGAAATTGTCATCTGGATCTACAATGTCTTCCTAGCTCTCTGACTTACTGCTCTCTTCTAAAGAAGGCTGCTCTCTCTCCGGAGCAGTGGGTATGGGGAGCTTATGGCAATGTGACACCAGGGCGATGGATGAAGGAAGGTCCGGATACGTGAAAGGGTTGTCTTGATCCCCAACAAGCGTCACACATCTTAGCAGATGTTTCCACAGAGTACTTTTTCGCTCTTGTCTTGATAAATTGGCCACAAACATAGCAAAATGCGTCTGCCGGATGCTTGCAGCCTCTTGATGCCATCTCAAAAAAATGCACTTAGGCAGCTGGAACTAAAATTAACTGGTGGGTTTCAGGCCCCTGTATATATACTATATATATTACTGGAACGTTCTAGATTGTTCTAGAAGTTACTCCAAGTTTACTCAGCACTGAATCTATCTGGAATGTTCTGGAAAATTCTAAATATCACTGTCCTGGTCCCAAAAGCAAAGTTTGTGGGGAATAGCCATTTTCTGTACTTTTCAGGAATAAACAATTAGGAAATAACACTTACCACCCATGAACAAAAAGAAAATTGTTACACAGTGTTATCAGACCATGTTTTTCGTTTGCATGCTTGTGTTTGGTGTTTTTACATCTTAACTCCTGTTTTATTTCCAGAAAGGGTAAAACCTATTCTGATATTTTGATACTGGCAACAAATATCCCATATTGAATACACTCCTGCAAGTTAAAAGTTGTTCACATTGCAAAAAAAGCTAATGTTTGAGAAACGTAGTACTGTGTCGTGAACATGTGGCTCAGCGGTTTTGCAAGTGGCTAACAATTCAGAGAGGTGCCAGTTCAAATCCTGGAAGCAGGTTGAATCAGCCCATCAACCCTCCAGAATGAGTAAAGTAAGTACCACTTTGTTGGGAAGTCAACAGTAGTTGTCCTATGGATAAAACCCACCCCCGCCATAGCAATTTCCACCACCGGCTAAGGGCTGTAAAATTGGAGATTAACAACGATAAATGTTTGAGAAGTGAATTACAATGACTTTTGAGCAAATACAATACATTATTTGCAAGGTGAACAATGTGTCCGCAATTAAGATGGCGTTTCGTCTCTTTGGCTCTTCCAAATCATCGTTCCAGAGACACATTTCCATAACGTACCATAAGAGAAGCAATGCGCAATATGATTACCTGCAGATGGCTTGAAGGATGTCTTACAATAATTCACGTGAACATATGTATTGCCATTGTTCAATGCGACCACAACAAAGCGTTCAAGAGGTAAGGGACCATCCCCTACAAAGAATGGTACATTCCTGTTACAGAGACCATTGCTTCCTCCTACAAGCTCTGCAGCAGCAGACATTGTTATACTAGGCCTGCCTTTGCACAATACTTGGCTAAGGAATGTACCATGTTTTGTTGAAAGGGGGTGGTGACCCCTTCTTGTTGGACCCCTGCTGAAGAGAAGCGGCATCACACTGGATGTAGACTCAATATGGCATTGTAGGCTCAATATGGATTGGTGAAACAGTGAAAGTGGTAGGCACAACGACACCACCAGCATAGCCAGGTCTCAAGCCGGTGGAAGGCGAAGGGGGAGGAGAGTAAAGATACCTTTCATTCTGAGAGGGATAAAGTGCATCAGCTGCAATCCTGAGAGACAGAGGAACATGCAACAGGGCCGATAAATACTCACCTGCTCATGCAAAAATAAAATTCGAATCAAGGAAAGGAGGATACATTCAATTAAATCAATAGATAAGAAAAGACAATAAAGAGATATTTCAATTTAACGGTAATAAACCGTAGCTAAGGAGGGAGCGGTGGCGCAGTGGTTCACACGCTCTACTATGAACATGGTGACCTAAATTTCGATTTAAAGCTTTCGTGACTGCAGGGATTCATCTTCTTGGTTCTTTCGGTAAAGTCACGTAGGAAGACGGCTGCTTGCGTTGTAGCCGAAACGTCGTGAGAATTATTTTATTTTATTATGTTTTATTTTTATTATTTTATTACTTCCCTTCTACGTGACTTTACCGAAAGAACCAAGAAGATGGTGACCTAAGTTCGATTACCAGCCATTGCTAACATAAGTGGCAATACTGCAATATCTGAACAAGACCTGAGGCCCCATTTACCAATCCACACTCAGCAGTGTAGTGAAGTATGATCAAACCAACCTGTATCACTTAAAGCCCTGGGGAGGCCTTCATTCAGCAGTGGAGCTCAATGCCAATGTTGAGATCTGCTAGCCACGAAAGGGCTTCAGTCATTCATGTAGTTTTTCCATTCCCCTGTTGAAGGCACGCAGGCTACAGTGGATTCATATATAGTGCATAGTTGTGGTTGAATGGCCACAATTGTACCGTGACTTGTGTTTAATTGTCTATTTATGAAGATGTGCGCATTGGCCTCTTAATGCTATTGATGGTTACACCACCGGTGTGTTCGAGCAATGTGCGATGAAAGCCAGGACGTGCGATGATGATTGTGTCTCGAATGAGGTGTTTAGTCTTGAAGTCCACGTTGTTTCACTCTGCTTGCTAGCGTTCTTCCGGATCTGGGTGAAATTCTAGTAGTAACGTGATCCAGAAAGGGATGGGCACTTGAGTAGGTGGCGGTGAGGTACATGGTTGAGCTCATTGTTGAGGTGGTAGGTGGTTTTTGTTGGCAAGAAAGTGTGTAAATGCTCTTGCATTCTCTGCGGATATTGGTGGCGGAATGTCTACCAGAATATGAAGCCAGGAGGTTGGTGTTGGTTACAGTGGTCTGGCTATGATGCACATTCCGTTATTCCATTGTACATCAAGCAGTTTTATGTACGAGCTCCCGGACCAGGCTGAAGCACAATTTCCATTACAGGACTATCATGGAGGCATTTATTAGCATGCAGAAAAAAAACTAAATCACAATTTTCCTATGGGAGACTATATATATCAATCAGTGTAGTGTTCTGATGAACTTACAGAAATGTATCATTTGGGCAAAGCTTGGTGGGTAAAGTATATATATCTTTTTTATTTCAAAATAGTCCACTGGCATTAATGAGAAAGCACTCAGCAATATTCATTTAGGTGCCAGCAACGTTTGGTTAGGGAGCTGGGAAAGTTTAGTCCTAAAAACAATAACAACGTAAAAAGAAGCAAGTCAACTCAGATTTAGGTAAAAAAAAATCATAACATACTGAGGAGACCTCCTTAATAAAGATGCGCACCGTCAGGGTAGGAGCAAAATCGATCATTTTGTTCTCAAATTAAGTTTACTAAAACATTTAAATTCCTATATTTTAAGTTATTTAAAATCCATTGAGCGAGTGTTTCAAGGAACTCAGCAAGTTGCAGTCAATGGAAAGACATTGGTAGGCTCTGACTTGTGTGCTCTCCAATAAGAACATCTCACCAAAAGGAAGAGTAGAGAAAATATTATTAAGATTATTCACATGCATTTGTGGTTAATAATATATAAGTGAGAATCATATTAGTACAGATAGTAGCTTGAAAGGTGAACGTGGTTAAAGACTGACATACATGTGCCAAGTACAAACTATTAGCATGCCCTTGCAAACACAAGGCTAAATGCTGTAATTTGCAAATATGTTAGAAGTGGGAAAGTGTTCAAAGAATTGTAATGCATAGCAGGGATTTGAGATGAATTCCAACCAATGTAAACATTAAGTGTCATAAGAGATGGAAGCATCATAGATTTGGTTTAAGTTCTTGAATTCGCCACTTTAAATTGTAAACACAAACCACACATGAGTTTAAGTTAGATTATTTTATTTCATGAAAACAACAATATTCTCTAGAGAACATTGTTCTTTGAAGCATACTCGAGTAACAAGACAATGTGGCTTGCACCCATGACAAATGTATTAACATTTACAAACCGCATGACTTTTACAATAAGCTTCTGCATTCCAAGCCTACATCCATTTTCCTTGTAATATTCACCTCCCGGAGGTGAGCGGAGAAATAAGTACCTGCCGACAGACTGCAGCATATCGAGCAGCAGGGGTGCGGCGACCTCAGGGCTGAGGTGGATGAAGGTGGACAGTGTAACGATGGACAAACTCAGCGTGTCCTCATCGTACTCCTCCAGAATGGCGCCGCAGTCGTGGCACCTGGGAAAGAAAAACCATTGTACGCACATCTCACCGGTACAAACGCCACGACTTCATAGGCACGGCCCGTTTGTCAGTCCACTGCTGGATGAGGGCCTCCCTGCGCCATATGGATCTTGGGGGCTATTCGAATATTTTTTTAAACTTGCTCAATACGGGTTTGTGAAGGTGGGGAGCATATCTATTGAAGCTGAGAATGAAAGTACAACAATTAATTCTGTGCACTTCTTTCTGCTCACAGCATAGCCCCGCAGCAGCATATGACAACCTGTTTTATGCATGGTGGTGGGCGCGCCAAAATCCTGCTTAGCTTCTGGAATATGACGAGATGGCACACATTCTGGGTGACTCGGTCATAGGCCACCACCAGTTAACTGGGACACAAGAACAAATGCACTGTTTCACAATGGTGGCAACTGCTGCTGCTGTATATGCTGGTGCCTGGAAAAGTCGAGACACAGATACTAAGTCTTCTCTGTTCTCCCGTGTTTTTCCCACCTCCGTTTTTCTTTTACTGTGAGTCATCTCTTTCCCTACCAATGCTATGATAGCACTGTTATTTGCATATGCTCTGTACAGTGCGAAAAGATGCAGTGTTATTTAATTGCGAAGGAATGCAAATCTTTCTTATTATCTATTTCGGACATCTTAATTTAAAATTTGAGGCACTATAAAGTAATTACACTGCTCACCAATCTACACAAACACATGTACAGTGGTCGCAGTGCCACACAGTCATTGAATAATGTCCGAGGCTTCAAGACCTAGGTGTGGACAATTCATGGATACATTCTCAAGAAATAAAATGAAGGGAAAAAGTGTTTCCTCTCTTCCTCTGCCTTTAACGGACTTTATCTCTTATAAAATAAGTCCACCTGCTGTTTATGTGCGGCTTCTTCCGATCCAACCTAATTTAAATGCTCCCGAAAACCAAATTGCATTGCATAACCGTGGACAGGTCTGCAACCAGAGGTACAACTCGTTTCGGCCTGCACAAAGTGAATAATTCGGCAGCGAATGCACGGTGCCTCTAATGGCCAAGGCAAGCTCAACTGTGAACCTACGGGATCGTGGCTGCAGTACGGGGTTGACGACAGGCGGCTTGAGAATTCATGACGATTTACAGGGAGCTGCTCTTTGTGGACAATCTGACCTGTCCGTTGCCAGGGTCGGTTGCTCGTCCGTGAACTCCTCTGGCACCGGCACAAACATGCTGGGGATGCTGGCAGCTGACACCAGGCTGTACTTGGTGCCTGTGGCAGCACAGCAGAGGGTCAAGTCACTACATCTTCCTCGTCACATGAGCCATACGGCAGCACTCATTCACATTTGCGGTCTCGAGTTGAAATTTGACTTTCGAATGATGATGGGGATGAGCAGTCTATCCAAATTACGACAATGGTTTGTTTCAACCGAGTGGTACTTATTTCATCGACAACATGAGGATTTTTACTGGTGATCATCCGATTGTGCCATAGATACCACACAGAATTGAACTCTGGATGCTCACGCTAATTTGAGCTGCAATAAAATGGTATGAGACATACAAAACTAATACGACTGCATAGGGTTTCGCAGTTGTGCAGAGTACCTCTCCAATGTGTGTTTCAAGGGTTGTCCTGCGTGTTGTTCAGCATGATGATGACCATGTCCAATCTTTGTTGTCCATGTGCTGGAAGTTACTTAATAATTTAGTTCCTAAAGAAGTTCCCAATACATGGAGCAACATGTGGACAACATGCCAAACACGTGGTGCAACCCAAAAACACATCGATCAGACAGCTGCAACTTGTTCCAGTCCAACTCTGCAAGCGGCGATGCCGGACGCAGGTGAGGTCATGCCTCGTGTACTTGCCTGCCTCCCAGGCTCCGAGGGGCTGCGGACTGTTTCCCTGCTGCTCCAGCTGCTGCCTTAGCGGCTGCTGCAGTGTCAGGACGCCCAGAGAAGCACGCTTCATTGGCTTGTAATGAGCTGTCCAGAAAGAGCCCCAATAAATAGTGCAATTAGATTTAAAAAAAACGTAATTTTTTCGGCACATTTGGATATTGCTTTTCATGATATAGCCTGGCATGGCATACAAATGGAGAGGTACAGGCTTGGAATTACACAGACAGATAGAGGAACACATGGATCAGAGAACATGTGCAAGTTAGAGACATCATCTTGCTTGTTAAGAAAGTGACGCATCTAATCTCATGAGTACCGATCGTGGGCCTGGGCAGGACACGTTGCTCAAGGAAAGATGGCTGGTGGTCAAGACTATTGACAGTGGCAGCCAAAGGAGAGAACACGCCTGATAAGTCATCCACTGCGGAGACAGATCATTGTTGATGATGAATCACATAAGCAACTCTTACACAATCATACATGTCAACCCAAAGGGTTCAAATCAGTGAGACCCCCTCCTGATAAATATTGGGGAAAATAAATAAAAATATCGATATATGCACGCAAACCAAAATAAAAAAAGTACATGCTTATAAGCATGAAATGCAAACCCTTTACTCAAATAACTTGCTCCTTCCAGCACAGCCAATGCTCTCACTGTGAAATTTGTCCTCAAGTGCTGCACTGTCATATTTTCGTATGCCCCTCACACCGCTGCCACTTAATATCATATCTACACAGTGCAGAAAGTATTTTGTTTTCCGCATGTGGATGCTATGAAGCATCTGGTCAGAGGGGGGGGGGGGGGGCTCGGGTTACTCTGGACATCAAACATACAGTACAACCTGAAAAAAGGTAAAAACGTCTATACATCAGGAAGATGTGCAGAGAAAAACAGGGAAACGTGGCAATTCATTACATTGACTGCTTTCAGCTGATGCAGCCGTTCCAAATGACTGCGCAGAGGTACTTTCCCGAGGCAAATCCAGCGTTGGGGACCACCTACAGCAGGGCCCGGAACATCTGAAAAGAGTCAAAAATAAGCCACAATGGGTATTTTTACTTTCGTAAATTTTCCCCAGTTGTATACCGATTGCGCTATCGACATCACCTTATCAGATGCATGAACCATTCGGATCTCTCACAGAGCAGCATATTTCGTGTTAGAGAACAGCCCAAAGCAGAAAACTTCCTGGCATCCCTTCAAGTAACCTCTGATCCACACAGTAGAGGGCAATACCTTCCCTTGACTTCGCATATGAGAGTAACATTCATTGCATTAAGTCAAACCGATATTTAAATTCTCAGAGCTGAAATTTTGCCAAATTAAGGATGTTGAAGTAAATTTAATGGAATGGATTTGTTGTGCGGTCATTGGTGACAGGGCTGGGACCATCATCTAAACTACACTTGAGAACAACCTACTGACGCACAAAGTATTGACACGCTAAACAAATACAAGCGCTCCCACGCAGTCCACGAAGCGTACCTCCATCGTCGATGTCTATGGACTGCTGCGGCATGCTGAAGGGCATGTCCAGGTATTCCCTCTGAATGGCGCTGACTGCGATTTTCCGCTCCTTCTTCTGCCGGGGAACAATTTGAATGCGGAATTCTCCCTCTTCCCCCTCCTCTTCCTCACCCTCCTTGAGGTCACCTTCTTCTATGGTTGCCTCGGTCGTTTCGGCCTCTCGATCATCTTCTGCGACAGCGCAGGACGGCGTGCGCTCCCTCTCACCGTCGATGCCGTTGGAGGGGCTCTCATCAGGGGGAGTCTCCTGCACCGCCATGTGCTTCTCGAGCGGGCCCCTTTTGGTTTTCTGCTTCGCGCTGGCACCGCTGTCTCTGTCCGAAGTGCTCGTCGAAGCCGGGCTGTCTGCGCCGCAGCTGAAGATTTCGAGGCACTCTGACGTCGCGCTTGGGATCGCGGGAAAGTCTGCCGCGCTCGGAGGCTGCAGCCAAGCGGTGCTGTCGGGCACCCGGATGGAAACCTCCCCGGTGCAGTCCTCGATGTTGACCATCACCACAGGTGTCACCTTGGGGCCATGACCTTGGGTGTCCATACCCTTCAAAGGCTTCCCTTCTCCCGGCTCGTTCTCATCGTCGCTCTCTATGATTTGCAACGGCGGGAGAAGATCAAATGTTAGCGAATCACTGTCGGAGCTTGTGATCATCGACAGCTTTTCCAAAGCGGCCGTGACCGCCTTGTCAGGCGAGATACTCATCAGATCGCCATCCTTTCTGTTCTCCGCTTCAAACTCCTCAATGTCCTCGAGTTTCACCTCCGGCACATCCAAAAAACTGAGCCTGATGTCGGGCGTGATGCTTTTCGTCATCTGCTTCGCCTTGGCCGCCGCTGCCACGTGCTCGTCGCCTCCCCTGTGGTGAGACACAAATATCTGGCTGTCGGGCGAGGAGTTCTGGCTGGCGTCATGGTGTTTGGACGATGGCAAGAAGCGTCTTTCAATATCTGGACTGGCGGAGAAGGACCTCCTGTGGCACTCCACCAGGGCTGGGTGGAGTGGCTCCGAGTATGTGCTCCTGTGCTCCATGGACCTGTGCTTGGGCCGCAAGAGCCTCTTGCTGGATGAACTGATGGATGGCACTGAGATGGACACTGAAAGCAGCTCCTCCTGGGTTTTTGGCGAGGGGCTTGACTGAGACTTTAGGATGTCGTGCAGGGCACATTTATCTTTGTATTGTGATAGCTCTATGTCTGAATCTAAACACACAAACACAAACACACAACAGTTAAGTTGATGATACATTTTAACTCACAAGATTGGTTGCAAAGCTAGTATTTACTCAAATTTGTTTAAGAAAGCTCTGAACTCACTCCGTTGAGGTAGCATATCAACTTGCTGATATTTGGTATTCTTCAATCCTCCCATCTTCTTGAGTTTTGCCAGGAATGTTTGGGACTCTTTTCCTCGTGTGGGTGTTTCGTGACCATCAGACTCATCAAAAACGCTGTCTTCTTCTGGGAGAAAAAACACATCAATAAAATAAATAAGGGATTACACCACCACTTTTGAGCATTTCTCCTTCATATGGAATGGAATGGAGGTGCAGTGGTTAGCACATTGCGCTAAGAATCCAGCGGCCTCAGTTAATTTCTTGGTTATGGCGAACATTAGTGGTGATATCTGACCTGGTCCTGGGCCTGCTAAACTTCACCAACCTGGACTGATCAGCATGTGATGTGATCAGCATGGTTAAGTATGGTCAACCTTCGTCAGTGGGAGATCGCTCGTTCTCTTCTCTTGCTTTCATCTTCTGCAAGTGACCTTTCGCCAGTCATCCATATTGTCAACTCCCGAGTTAAAAACCTTCCCCTCTCCTCTGTCAACGACGTACCATACCTTTTTATAATCTAAACATTGATACCGTTTAAGTGTGGCATCTTGAGATGTGGTTGCATTTCGACGATTGGGTCTCAAAATTGTGATATGGCGGCCCCCTCGTCAAACCCCCGCTCGCTCCACCCCAGGTTACTAAAGCCAAAATATAGAGATCACATGCCCACATCTCTAGTCAATGCAGTGTAAGGCATTTGTTTCATGTTGTATATAAAAAAATTGTTGTCAAGTACATTTTACATTTATCCTGGTCAGTATCCATGCCTGCACCCCCATTGAATCACCAACTAGACGTTATACAAATCAACTTTTTGTTGTTTTGTGTTGTCAATCAACCACCAAGACCAACATAAGAGAGGAAGGCCTTCATCCAGCAATGGATTGACATAGCGGCTGGAAATGTTCTATGTTTGTCATTTAAAATGTTATGCATTTTTCAGTCAGGATATCTGGTGATGATAATTATTAATGACTATGCTTGTTTAGCCAGGAAAGCCTAACCGAGTCTCAAGTCTTTTCAGGAGGGTCCTGCCAAGTCTTCGCAGGAGGGGGTCCAATGGGTAATCCAAATTGAGTCAGATGCAGACACTTTTTAAGGATTGGTATTTTGGCCAATATCAGTTACATTAAGGGTTTTTTTTATGGGAGGAAGCTGCAGAATCTGGAAGCAACCCATGTGGAACAGGAGCTCTTACACTGAAAGGCACCCAAGTCAAAAATTGGAACCCAGACCATATTTAGCTGCGAAGCACAAGTGTTACCACTGCACCACCCTGCCGCCTTGTGTGAAACAAGAAGCCCCACTCACCCATCTTCTCCTTGTCGCTGTACTTGCTCGTGTTGCTGTTGTCACTGTAGAGGGGGCCTGCAGTGGGGTGCGGCTTGCAGCTGTGGTACTGGGCGTCCAGCGTGTTCACCACCACATAGATCAGCTGCAGCACCACCTTGCATGTGTCCGGCTCCTTGTAGGGGTACTAAAAAGGTAATGGTACAGATGCGGCCCGATAATAGCTCGCTCTCACCACTGCTAGCGGAAGGGAGCAAAATATATAGAGGATATTTCATCTCCTCTTCTATGGTAACCCACACTTTACTTTACCACACATGGCCTGCCGAACAACTGTGTATTAATTTACAATGCTGAGTGGACAGAGGCGGTAAGGGGGATTTTATCAACTTGCATACAAGAGGGAACAATACAACCAGAATAAGATGAGCAGAGTGTACCATGTTAAGAAATTTCTGCTGGGTTCCCTGCCTGAGTTATGGCAATAGTTCTCCATGAGTGACATTTTCGACAGAGTACAATATAAACAAGTGGTGTAGTTTTAGTTAGCACGGGCCCTGGTGTAAGGAATCAAATCGGGGCCCATTCCCCAATTTCCACCCCCACTTCTACGTTGCCTGGAACCTGGGTCCCAACGGCTCGTCGGCCCCGGTGCAGTTGCACCGCCTATACCTGACATAGCTACGCAAACGTCCATCAAGCGAACAGGCAGATCGGGAGAACCGGGAGAGCGCACCTTGTAGAGGATGACTATGAGAGTACGGAGCCAGAGCTGCCGCGTGTGCGGATGCAGGGACCAGAGCGAGCAGCGCGGCGGCTGCTGGAAGTAGTGGCGCAGCTGAGGGCAGGCACCATACTTCAGCACTTGCAGCACGAGTGGCAGCAGCTGCCGGCCCAGGCTGATGTTACAGTCGAGCACCTGTGCAAGCACACAGGGCCGGCGTTTAAGTACACGGAGAACAGTTAGCTCCGTCATCATCCATGCTTAATCCACTGCTGGATGTAGTGCACCGCGATGCCATGTCGGTCAGAGAGGTTGCTTGACAGCACTTCACCACACTGGGCAGTGCAGGTTGGTGAGGGTGAGTGTGCCCTGGAAGTAGGTAGACAAACAAAGAAGAGTGTCCCACGTAGATTTCGCTGCGCGGCTCAAGAAACGTCTGTGCCACCCTGATTAAACCCTGCACCCCAAAAACGTCGTAAATCTCCATAAAATCTCCATCCAGGGTACCTGCGCAATGCCGGTCATGAAGGCATTAAAGCAGGTGCTGCTGCGCATCTTATTGGGAGCCACCATGAAGCAGCCCTCCTGCTGGTCGTAGCCCAGCAGTACGTGCAGGTGTCTCTTGACGGTGTTGAAGGCCTTGGCGGATGACACGTCGGTCTCCGAGGTGCTGCGTTCCTTGGCCATGAACTTGGTAAGCACTGTGATGAGGTGGTGCACGGTCTGATGGTCGATGCGTGCGTCCTCCGGGAGGGGGTCCAAGATGGTGATGTCGTCTCCCACTGCCAGGTTGCCACCTGGAGTTTTGTTTAAAAAAAAAAATTACAACTGGAGCTGCCGTGCCACCGGTACATACCCCAGACACAGGGCACGTGTACCAAAAACAGGGCATGTAGACTAGAAATAGGGCACTTGCACCAGATGCAGGCAGAATTTTTTATATCATATATAAATAAAGCCATTGCAATGCAACTCTCCACTACGAAACTCTACCCAAAAGTAATTTATTTTGAGAAACATAAAAAAAACATCCAGTGGGGTAGTTGACATGTGAGAATAATTGCAATGCAAATGAGTGTGACAATGTGGAACATAACATCCATGTTTTTTATGGATACTAAAAAAACACAATCTTTAGACGATTTGTTACCTGATGTATACTTTGGTAGAATGAAAACTTTTGAATAAAATAAAATGTCGTTTCTTCCAGCTCTGGGAGCTGTGATTGTTCCCATACCCCTGTGTGGACCCAATATTAACCGAATGCTCTGCTCAGTGCTCTGCTAATCAATTGGCTTTAAACAATTATATTCTCATATCAATTAAGTCACTGACCAAATGCACACACCTGATGATTGGTTAATCACTAAAATCTGCATCATAGCCCGTCAGAAGGACTAGAATTGTGAAACACTGTGCAAATTGGTTGCTCGACTGAAATTCAGTACTTGGATTAATTTAGTTTGAGGATTAATACTTGGTGTGTTCTGGCAGCCATATATTTGTCATCATCATCCAGCAGCAGCAGCAGCAGCTTCACATGTCATGGTTGATGTCAGGATGACTGTTGTTAGGTCTTTGTGAGTGATGGTGTGACTCATACCAGGTAAAACATGCTTAATCATCTCCCCAAGTGATGGAGCAGACTGCTGATGGCGAGTGATCCGTAAAGCTGCGATGATAAAAAATATATGAAAAAAAAGTAAAATGAAATATAAACATCGCAGTTCACTCTATAAATCACATCATGTAGATGTACTGTAGAATAATTTAAAACTGAAATGTGAACCAGAACCTGAAAGAAAAAAACAAAGTTTCGAATTTCATGTTTCCAACAAATCATGTTAATAACACAATATAATGGTACAATCGGTCTTCTTCTGCATACATATAACGTGTCCGAATATCTTAATGTTAAATATATTTTTCTATCACGAAATAGCTCATGTACCAGTTTTCTCTTTCATCGTTGTTTTGTGTGAAATATGATGCAGCTATTGCGAATGACAACGGCTGAGTAGCCGACGAGACGGTGAGCGAACGATACTCAACGGAGCCTGTGTGTCAGAGTTTCCGGCAGCGAGTGTGTCCTCTTGGACTCCGCCGGCTTCTTCACGCTGTCGCGGAGCGAGCGCACACTTTTCTGACGATTGCGGCGAAGCGTGCACGCTTGATTTTCCACATAGCCGCGTCGCTCATGTTCACCACGTTCGTTCGCACCGTCGAGATGGCTGTCGTTCAAAGATGACGCATTCAAAAATAATAATCGTCATAATCATGCCGAATATGTAACGTGCAGTTTCCCGTCATTCTCAAAGAGAATAAAACAGGGGCACAGGAAAACACAGACAAGCAGGAAGGCAAAACAAACTGGCACCACAAATTTCTCAATCTCTTTGATCCTAAAAGAGTAAGTTTGGTCAACTTCATTAATGAGCATTTATAAAACACAAAAAAACATTTCTAGACGGCAAAATGCACAATTTTGAACATTTCTTCAGTACTCCCATCACACCTTACATGTTACGTGACATCACGACACTGCATGTGTAATGCACACAGCACAAGGTGGACTGACGCAATCGAAAGCCTAAGTCTCAAGACTCTTTTTCAGGAGGGTCCTGCCAATTTTTTACAGTCGGGGGTAATGTTTAGACGTGTAATCCCAACTGAGTAATTTGCAGGTAATATTTTTTAATTGCAATATTTGTCCAATCGCAATTACACTGTGTTTTTTTGCTTTCGGAGGAAACCAGAGAATCGGGAGACAACCCATGCAAATCCCACATAGAAAGGCATCTGTGCCAAAGTTCAAACCCGGGCCTTTCTTGCTGTGAGACACAAGTGTACTCCTGTGCAACCAACTCTACCACCCAAAATGCTTCTTCTGCTTCTTCCCTTGCACTGCTCCACTTTGGAATTCCCTCCTATCATCTCTTTGCCCAAGCTCCAGCTCGATTCAAGACATGTGTTAACTCTACGAAAATTTTGGTTGTGCTATTTGTTGCCGACCGCATGACGTTTTGGGCCTGGTGGCACTCACTGGTGGGAAAGGGGAACTCCTTGTTGCAGTCCAGGTGGAGCTGAGCCTCGAGTGACAACGTGTCGAAGCGATTGACAAAAAACTCCCAGCTGAGTGCGGGGATGTCCGGCCGTACGTTATGCAGGAGCAGCAGCTTGCTGAGGATGGTGGGCCGGTCCTTCACCACCGTGTCAAACTGGAAGTCCATGCATGCGCACAGGCACTGTGCAACAACCAAACCAAACAGATATTACAGTGCAGAATAGGCCAGTGAGTCCAGGTCGACCGCGAGCATCTTCAGCAGATAGATAAATCCTTCTATGAAGAGCCCAGGCAACCTTCTCTCAGTGGAAGGTTACTCGTTCTCCTCTCCTGCTCCCATAGCTTGGAATTCCTTTCTATATGCTATCTGTGCTGTTTAAGACCAGGCTCAAGACTGTGCTCTTCCCCTTTGCCTATAACTGTCGGACACTCTCGAAACTAAATATGACCACTGTTTCTCTACAGCATCTTGAGATGCGCTTGCATTTAGATACCATATAGATCCGCATTCAGTTTAACACGTAGGCTTTCGCGACCAATATTATTCATAATATAGGTTTTTGGGTCAGATCGCGTTATTTATAAATGTGTCGTAACCCTCCACCACCCGACACGGCCAAACAGTAAAAAATGTGTCACGTTTTTCAAAGGACAAAATAATTCACTTCTTTAGCCCACCGGTGTGTTGAAGAGAGAATCAACAGCATTTTAAATTTGAGTACGACGTTTCGCTGATAATTACAATCAGCTTCATCGGGCAAGAATGGTGAAGCTCTCCTGTTGCTTCCGGTCTTAAATAGAGCAGCAGCAGGGTGACGTCATCATTTAATTCAATCTGGTGCAGTGATTCGAGGCAAAGAGGGGGAGGGTATTGTAATTATATAGATTGGTAATCATTCAATTGTTATTCATTGGTATTTGTTTCCCTTATAAGGAATTGTAATTGTATTTATTTAATAATACGCTTCCAGGCCGCACTAAGCCTGTAGCTGTCAGAGCGATTGAAGTTATTTCTGTTTCTCTCAATTTCAATGGATTCTCTAATTAGTCTTGGCCAGTAATAATTAGTTTTACCTGTCCCCCCGGGTTTGACCAGGGAGTCTGGGAATGGTCACCTGTATTTAGGTGGCCGACATTGATTTCTACCTCCTAAGAGTTAGTGCCATTACGTTGAACTTCATCAGAGTGCACTGCAGTTTTCGTAGACCTGGATGACTTAAGAAAACGAGTCGAGGTTTGATCTGGGAGCACTCAGCCGTACAGCTGTTGGGCTGTGGCATGTGGCTTGTAAATTGAATGTTTAGCTCATCTCACGAGGCGCTGTGAAACATGACATTTTGCACGCGCTTCTGTTGTACGTGTAACGCACATCTTTGTATGGTGCTAATTGCCTTGCTTGTTGTAGAGTTGAACAAAACCGACGGCAAGGACTTATTTGTGTCGTGCGCGATCATGCGAGCCCTGGCGTTATTTGTACAGGACATGAATGCCTTTTTACTGGAGTTGCTGTGCCACTATCATTAGTACGTGCGTGGGTTGCGAGCGAATGATGATGAATCTAGGGCGACAGTTTGGCCCGGGCCTGACTGCGTTAGTATCCTTACGTGTCTCAGCCATAATCCACAGCTTCCATGCGAAAAACCTTCCATGCATATTGTGTGGGTTACCATGTGGGAGTGTGATCTCACTGAAGTGTGTGTGTGTCTGATTGTGATGTCCCAAATGTGACGGGGTCAGGGGCCTTAACATTTATTGGTTGGCTGGATAAAACAAAGTAATGTATTATTACGAGCAGAAAACTTGCTCTGCAGAAGAAAACGAGAGCCGTCATTTTCACTCTTCTCACAATCTCGGAGAACTAAAAGTAATCTGCTTTATTAAATGCAAGAATTGCCAACAATAGGTATTGAGTTTTTTTTTATGCTGTCAAGGATTTAAAGAATATTCCACCGAAGTCATTGCGTTAATAGGAGCACAAACATTAGAGCAATATTCAATGAACCGTGCCAGTTTTCTGCATTCGTTACTCCCACCTCTTTAGTGTCTCTATCTATGATCTCGTCTTATGAACTTTCTTTCGCCGTTTCAATGTGATGTTTGTTACACGGAATATCCCGTTTTGGCCAGTTACCCAGCTAGTTTCGGTGGCAACGGCGCGCAACAGCCACCAACGACATAGTTATTCATGATACAGGTTTTTTTTTTGGTTAGATCGTGTAAATATATGTGTCGTTAAACCGCCACCACAGCCAGTTAGTGAGGTTTGTCACGTAAACAGAACATGCCAATTCGTTACTAGTACACATTTATATATTTACGCGATCTAACCCAAAAAAGCTGTACTCTGGATGATATTGATCGCCAGCAGCCAGCCAGGAAACTTGAGGCATACATTATTTTAATAGTACAGTAAAACCCCTCTTAATAACAACCCTTGTTAACGATTAATCGCTTAACGACGGCCTCCTGAGAGCCCAATATGTTCACTTACCGACCACTCCCCTGTTAACGATGGGCTTACGATCAGCACGCGACCATCAATTTCGGCCAATCGGCGAGCTCCAAAGTGGTCTCACCAGGCCTCGGCCAATCAGCGACGTCCATTCGTGAGTGTCGGGCATTGTTTACATTCGGTGTCTGCTGCGCTTTGAAGTGGAAACATCTCTTTTTGAATTCTTGGTGTACCGTATTGTCTATACTCGCTTAACGACCGGTTTCGTGGAACCAAATACCGTCGTTAAGAGGGGATCTACTATGCTATAGTGTACATTATCACAGCCACATTAGTTTTGTTGATGTCGCTGATGTTCAACATCGGTGTGTGTGTGTGTCTGATTAATTGCGTTGATGTCACCGGTGTGATTTTTGCGATTGTCCGCAGTGCGGATGGCGACTTTGCCGTTGTGCACATGACCAAGTTGCTGGTGCAGCACACTGGCAAGGTCGTCTGGATGCCACCGGTTATCTTCAAGAGCTACTGCGAAATCGTCGTCTCCCACTTCCCGTTCGACGAGCAGAACTGCAGCATGAAGCTCGGCACCTGGACCTACGACGGCAGCAAGGTCACCATCAAGCAGGTGTGTGGGTGCAATCCTGTAGATCGTCGTCGTCACGAGGGCACATCGACCGATTAAACCAGGGACTGATGGCAACGTGCTCCGGGTGTCGACGCAGATCCTTCGCGCGGTTCACACAGATGCGTGGCGAGTAATTGAGCAAGCGATGAATGGTTGGAACCATTGATCTCTTTGTGCGCGGTGGTCACCCATCACGACGGTTTGCCAGTGGGCTTGCGGGGAGCTAACACGGCAGACAATGCAGCAAAATGCATTGTTGTACTGCACGTCTGTGCTCCCGTGTCTTAATTCCCCCCCCGTATTCACTAACCCACGACTCATGACGAGACCCTCATCCAGTCGTGGAGTGATTAAGATGACGGGTACGTGCACAGTATGTGCAAGACACGTGCCCATACCGGGGAACGCTGGGGCGAGGTGGGTACAGGAGGCTCCATCGCAATGGGCCCCATGCCGTGCACGAGCACTGCCCTGCGAGGCACCCCAGGGCTTCACTTCGAGCCAAGTTTGTCCTGGTCAGCAACCTGGAAAGTTTTCCCCGCAGCCGGCACACCACGTGCAGTATACCGTACCTCTCACCACGGGCTGTGTCAACGATTCGCGTGCCTACAGCCAGTCTGCTTGTGACCCAGAAGATTCGTCGGTGATAAGTGTAAGTTATAGATTGTACCTGGTGTGCCGAGACCTGTCCTCCCCCGCCCGCCAAACCTCTGCCCAGGAGAGCGTCCACCAGGACATGAGCAACTTCATGGAGAACGGAGAGTGGGTGATGAAGGAATACCGCGGCTGGACCCACTGGGTGAACTACACCTGCTGCCCGGGGAAGCCCTACCTCGATATCACGTACCACTTTGTGATGCAGCGACTGCCCCTCTACTTCATCGTCAACGTCATCATCCCCTGCCTGCTCTTCTCCTTCCTCACCGGACTCGTGTTCTACCTGCCCACGGACTCAGGTGTGCAGTGATAGCACCACCAGACGCATCATGATCCCGCTGGGTGATGATGATGATGATGATAGATTTGGTGGTAATGTATTGATGATGATGGTGGATGTGGTCTTGATGTAGTATTGAAGATAGTGGTGATGTTTCGATTTAAAGCTTTCGTGACTGCAGGGATTCATCTTCTTGTTCTTTCGGTAAAGTCACGTAGAAGGGAAGTAATAAAATAATAAAATAAAACATAATAAAATCAAATAATTCTCACGACGTTTCGGCTACAACGCAAGCAGCCTTCACCTGAAGACGGCTGCTTGCGTTGTAGCCGAAACGTCGTGAGAATTATTTGATTTTATTATGTTTATTTTATTATTTTATTACTTCCCTTCTACGTGACTTTACCAAAAGAACAAGAAGATAGTGGTGATGGTTTTGGTTGTGTTGGTGATTTATTGATGGTCGTAGTATTGATAGTGATGATTATGATGGTCATTCTTCGGTGGTGATGTAATGCTTACGATGATGATGATGGTGATCGTGATGGTGCGTGGTTGTGGTGGTGATGTATTCTTCATGATGATGATAAGGGTGGTTTCCGTGGATTTAGTCGTGTTTCTTCTGAGAATCTATTAACAGTGGTTGCAGTGGTGATATATTGATCATGTATGATGATGATGGTAGTAATAGTAGTGGTGGTTGCGGTTGGTTGTGGTAATACACTGTAAACATTGATCACAATGACGATGGTAGTAGTAGTAGTGGTGGTTGTGGTTGGTGGTGGTGATACACTGTAAACATTGATCATGATGAAGATGGTAGTAGTGGTGGTGGTGGTGGTTGCGGTTGGTGGTGGTAATACACTGTAAACATTGATCACGATGACGATGGTAGTAGTGGTGGTGGTGGTGGTTGCGGTTGGTGGTGGTAATACACTGTAAACATTGATCACGATGACGATGTGCAGGCGAGAAGATGACGCTGAGCATCTCCGTGTTGCTGTCCCTCACCGTGTTCCTGCTCGTCATTGTGGAGCTCATCCCGTCCACGTCCACGGACGTGCCCCTCATCGGGAAGTACATGCTCTTCACCATGATCTTCGTCATCATGGCCATCATCATCACCGTCGCGGTCATCAACATCCACCACCGCTCACCCAGCACCCACACCATGCAGCCCTGGGTCCGCAAGGTGAGCACATCGCGCTTGGTTCGTCATCGTCATCCATGGTCTGTCCACTGCTGAATGAAAGCATCATCGTTCCATGGTTTACCGCTACTGATGAAGGCATCATCATCATCTTTCATGGTCTATCCACTGCTGAATGAAAGCATCGTCGTTCCATGGTTTACCGCTACTGGATGAAGGCATCATCATCATCACCATCATATTTCATGGTCTATCCACTGCGGTGTATGTGCTGCACATTGAACTTCATTCGCACCGTACGTAGCCAACCGTGCTAATCGGAGTTGAGGTGAAAGCATAATCATCATCATCGTAAGCCATGATCTATCCACGGCAAAGTGAAGGGTTGCCCGCACCATCATCATCCTTCACAGTCCCGTGATGCCACATCCAGCTCGTCGTGCACATGAACTGATCCCGGTGCTCCATCTCCGTGGTCGTCGTCCTTCACATCAGCCATCCTCCTTTCGAGTCGTGGATGTTTCCTGCCCAAGCCCACTTACGTTTCTCAACAACCAACACGAGTGCGCCGGTTCTGTATGCAGGAGAGTATTGACCTTGAGCTTGACATTGACCGTCGTCTCGGCCAGAGATGATGAATTCATTACCGCATACGATTGATTAGATGATTCAGTTACGTTGTCGTTATGCCTTACAGACAAATCCCCCCCACCCTCCCTAAAGTGCTCCAATATCATGGATCTCGTAAGCGAAGCAGGGTCGACCCTGCTTCATTCGACGAGGTTTTGCCTCTGTAATGAGAATACCGCGGCGCTGTGGACACCCACGGTGGTGGAGTCTGGGCCAGAGGGCGACAGCGCCAGGTTGTTTCCAGCCAATCAGCTCGTCCCTGAGGGCAGACTGATTGGTGGCACGTGATGAGGTTGGCTTTTGAGTGTCCCTAATGGGGCCTACTTCAAAGAAATGTCAACACTGAACCATAGAGGCATCCGTCGGGTATTCGTGTAAGTATACAGCAGTAAAGTGTCACATGGTAGAGAACGACAACAGTTACAACAGCTACAGAGTTGGATGCAGAGTTGCTACGGTACCGTTTGTATTGTATAACTACTGACCAATGGCAAAATTAGACTTGACAATAACAAAGACAAAGATCCCCTGTATAGCCTTAACAGACTGTTGGGGCAAGTGCTGTTAGCGAGATCCTATTAAGGCCGGCACGGCACACGAGGGGGTGGGTGACCAACATCACACCCGGTCACCTTTGTCTCCCTTTTGGAAATACACCACACCAGGTACTTATTTGAGGCTGAGTCGACCTAGGGGAGACCAAGGCCAGTTCAGATAATTGTCACTGGTGTTGGCCGTGAGCAGGAATCGAACTCAGGTCACCGGGTTCAAAGCGCAGCGCGCTAACCGATACACTACCGCTCTGGACAATGACCACTTTGTCACTCGCCGTTGAATGTGGCGTCGGTCTTCATGACTTCCACTCCTTGTGAGGCGCCCTTCCTTCAGTGACGCTCAGACAAACGCCTTCCACGTTACGGGCGAACTTTCGAACTTTCGACGATCGCACCCACGTGGAGCCGCACGGCGCTCGTCCATGACGCACCCTTTTCCTTTTCCCCGTGCACTCTGACAGCTCTTCATCGAGACCATCCCCGGCATGATGTTCTTCTCCACCATGAAGCGTCCCTCCAAGGAGCGCCAGGACAAGCGCATCATGGGCGAGGGGCTGGACATCTCGGAGATCTCGGGGAACCAGGAGCCGCCGGGTCAGGTGTACCACTCCGCGATCACGCGCAACGCCGACGTGCGGGCCGCCATCGAGGGCATCAAGTACATTGCGGAGCACATGAAGGGCGACCAGGAGTCGAGCAACGTGAGTGTGTATGGGTGTATGTTGAACTTTTTAAACACCACACGGAGCCAGCAAGCGCTCATTGAAGGTGCAGGGGAAGGACAACAAACTTAATACAAAAAGCAGTTCTAAAGAAGTGAGTTTTCAATCGAGATTTAAAAGTGCAAAGCACCGGTGGCTTCCTAACATCGGAAGGAAGAGCGTTCCAGAGGGCCACAGAAGCGCATCTGAATGCGCGCGATGCGATGACCGTCTCTGTTCGACGGCTAGCCAAAAGCCGCTGCCGCGAGGATGACCGGAGTTTGCGTGATGGTTTATGTTCCGTGATGAGATCAGCGAGGTATCGTGGTTCGTCTGTGGCAAGTGTGACGAGCGTGACCGTACAGCGATGTCACAGCGCACCGTCCCACGCAGGCACCACCAGCCCCGTCCCCCGTTGCCAAAGCCCGCTTCTCTCACTGGGTTGTTGATAGGGCTGGGCACTCCGATTGACTTACGTGATCGATTCCTCTACCGATCATTGGTTCCATTCATCAGTTTGATTATTCAACTAATCGGATACCCTCGAACATAGTCGTGGGAGGCGAAATGAAAGTCGCATTCTGTTCCGGTACGTGTCGCTGGACGGGAGGTGATACCGTCGGTATCATCAGCCGCGTCACCCTGGGCGTGGCTTGCAAGGGTTTCCTGCCTACGGGAGGCAGGGGATGTTTGGGGCACCGCAGTATTTAAAGGGTTCTGAGTAATTGACGATAAAGCTGTCGATTTTATCATTTATAATTAATTAATCAAGGAATTGCCCCAGCTCTGGTTATGAACATGTGTTTTAATCGGTAAACTTGACGCTGATAAACTTGTGATGGAATTTGTTTAGAAAATCCCACCATGGGACACTTTCATGGCCTACGTTTTCTATTTAGTAATAATCACAACAATGACCCTAACGTGCATAGCAATCGAGTCCAGACCACCCTTAAAAAAAGTGGATGGTTCTGATACAGGGGCTGAGGAGGCTCTAAAAGAGATACGAGTTGTTCAGAGGGTGAGATCATTCGCAGCAGCAGCAGCAGACAGTGTGGCAATGTATGGCTCAATGGGGGGTCAATGAAGCTGCGATCAGGAGAGAAATTTCAGCAACGGAGAAGTGAAAGAGCCAGATGTCGAGTGCGGAGGAAGGAGATTTGGGATCCAGAGGAAGTTGGTAGCAGAGAGGCAAATGTAGACGTATGAGTATACGGTGGTCGCTTAAGTGATGGGCAAAACGGTGGTAAGAGCGACGGAACTCAATGTCAGGAATTACGACGTCAAATGTTTGGCCATGGGATTATGTGGGACGCGAGATTAGTTGGGAGAGATCCATAGATTCCAGCAATTACTCAACTCCTTATCTCACTGAAACACAATGGGGCACTGAAACACCTGTGATCACGGCTTAATTTCTCACCGAATTAGTTCTGAGTCACCTTTAGAATGAAGTAGACACGTGACCAATAGCCACAGCCGTAACGAGAAGTGTAATGCGGTGCAGTGTCCTGGATGCATAAATACCTGCTGGGCCGTGTCCTGGACAGACCGGGTTAAAATGAAGCCCTGCGTGTAAACGCCTGACCAGGGCACGCGTAGCGTGTCTTCACGAACAGCGGCTGTCGAAACGCCTTGGTGCCACCACTCACGTTGGCGACCCTCTGCCCCGCGTTTTCCCCTTTCCGTGCCCCCCCCCCTTCCCCCGCCACCCGCCACAGGCAGCGGAGGAGTGGAAGTTCGTGGCTATGGTTCTGGACCACATCCTGCTGGGCTTCTTCAGCCTCGTGTGCGTCATCGGCACCATCGCCGTGTTTGCGGGACGCCTCATCGAGCTCAACATGAACAAATAGAGCCCCGGCCCTGCAGGGCGCCAGCAGCAGCGGCAGGGGTGGCGGTGGCAGCAAAAAAATCCGTGTACGCCCCATGCGGCGACGAGTCGGCTTGGTTCCGAGCACAGCCGTGGCTAATGTGGACTGTTGAGCTGATTTCGAAACGAGAGTCTTGATCTAAATGCACTGGTGTGGTGTGTGTGTGTAGTGGTTGTTGTGCGTCCTCCGGTGAAACACCTGGATTTCCACGGTGTTGGGTGGCTTGTCGATGTAGATTATTACCTGGGTTGATGAACAATCAGCGTGAAGACCCTCCGAGCGATGAACTGCTCACTGGGATCATGTCCTGTAACTGTGCAGGGGACCTCACAGATGAGTAGCAATAGCCCGTTGCTCCTGTACGCTCAGCTGTGCTGTGTGAATGGTGCGTCCGGGCGTTTGTGCCATTGTCTCAGTGTCCACAGTTGTCGTTGAGGATTGACATTATGAGCCTAACATTACCCTGTAAATTCACCTCTTTATCCTATGGTTCATTTCAAAACCAAAAAAATGTGTTAATGTGTTTTCCCAAGAAATAAACAGATACTGTAAATGTGTTTACGCAATCCGTGTGGAAATTACTTTTGCTAAGTCGTGTAGGGTCACGCAGTGTCACCCACATTTAACAAGAATTCTTGTAAATCCAGTAATTGAGGACACCAGCTTAAACGGAACGCGTGTTGCAAGGCAGAACCGGATGGTGTGGGGACAGTCATGAGATAAACGTGTGAGGAAATAATCACGCGGTGAAGAAAGCCACCTGCAGTTGCTCACTTCCCCACGCGTGTCTGCGTGATGTTGTTGCGTCTCCTATGACGAGCAGGGATAAAGCAATTCCAGCACTTTCTGCCGATGAAGAGAAACTCACCAAAACAGAAGAGGGATTCATCTTCTTGGTTCTTTCGGTAAAGTCACGTAGAAGGGAAATAATAAAATAATAAAAATAAAACATAATAAAATAATTCTCACGACGTTTCGGCCCTTCTATGCAGTCACGAAAGCTTCAAATCGAGAAGAGGGCTTGTTGGAGGCTGGAAACAAATTCGCGTGATGATGGTGATAATAATATTAATAAACGTAAACATTGTGACCATAGGATTGGCCCCTCCATCGTGCTTTGCATGTTGTCACTTGACATCACCACACTTTGTGTGCAACGCACACAGCTTTCGTTTAGCATTTGCAGTGTTTATTGGGTTCTTAAATTCTGCACCGTCGCAAAGTGCATACATCACCCGTTAATCATTCCGATACCTAAATGTAGGTTTTATCTTTTTTTCTTCTAGTCGATGAGATCCCGTTTTGACAGCTGTAAAACATGCATCTAATCATCATTCTTGACATTATAGTTGACATCCTCACCATAAACTAAACTATTTTATTCACCGGGTAAAGCCCACTGAGCTCTTTAGCTCTTTTTTTCAGAAGTGACTTGGCCACAAATGATCACTCAACGAGAGGTGGCTTAAATTTCGATTTAAAGCTTTCGTGACTGCAGGGATTCATCTTCTTGGTTCTTTCGGTAAAGTCACGTAGAAGGGAAATAATAAAATAATGATTATGTTTTATTTTTATTATTTTATTATTTCCCTTCTACGTGACTTTACCGAAAGAACCAAGAAGAGATGTGGCTTATTCAGTCGAAATGTACAGCAGCCAAATGATCCAAACGCATGTTTCTAAATGTGGAGGGAAACACCGGAGAACCCAGAGCTAATTCCACGCGATCACGAGGAGAACATTCAAACTCCACATACATAGGCGCCAGTGTCGGGGTCGAATCCACGACCTCCTGTATACCAGGCGAGGGAGAAAACATGTCAACGCACCTCCGATTAGCACGGTGCGACAGAAATACAAGATACACATACACACTTTTTGGTTCTTTCGGTAAAGTCACGTAGGTAGAAATAAAAGTCACCTACGTGACTTTACCGAAAGAACCCAAGAGTACGGATTCCTGCAGTCACGAAAGCTTCAAATCAACACACACACACATGTGTTTATTTATTAATCCATAAGTCGCCGGGCCTGCGTGTGTGTGTTTGCGTCACTCGATACGTGTCCTGTACACCATTGTCCTTCATTCGTCGTGCACATCGCTCGTGCGAGTCCCGTTGTAATAAGAGGTGCGCCTGTGCCGAGTGTGTGACTGGGTGTGAGTGCGCTCTTCCTGCTGCGTGCTGAGTGTGCACCTGATGAAGCCACACGCAGTGCCGTGCCAGTTTATTGCTCCTCTGTCTGGCGATGCGACTCGGCTGACGGGCTTCGTTGTGACGCTCTCGTGGTGTCGTTCCGAGAGAAACGGACTCCGACGATGAACACATGACCCGGACCCGCGGCGCAAGCCATAAATAAGCGTTGCGTTACAACCCCCAAATCAAACAACTAATATCGACCCATCCGCCCACTCGCCGATCACCCGCGGGTAACCGAGCAGATGCAGGACTCTGACCCCCCCCCCCTGTTGTGCTCGTGTTTAGACTCCCTGAATATCAACGACCAAGGGTCAGCACCCCCACCCCCCACGCACAGACGCACACAAGAACTCCGCCGTTGAGCACACGCAACGCTGTGATTAACACGTTGCCATCGGACTGCCGCGGTTCGAGAGCCGATCGGTGATTTGACCACATGTATCGTAATCAGAGTGACATACAGAGTCAGTATCTTTATCCGGGAGAAATCCGATCAGCTGTAAAGCTCTTTTTCGCAGTAGGGGCAGGTCAGAAATTTCCAACAAAACAAACAATACAACAACAAAAACGATAGGAGTGCAAAGTATAGGAAAGATAAGCAAATCACTAAAAATAAATACATTTCAACTAAACAATTCGCAATTTGTTTAATTTGACCAGGTACAGCCCACCGAGCTATTAGTTATTTTTTAGAAGCGACCTGGCCATAAATGATAGCCCAACAGAGTGGATTACCATGTGGAAATGAAAACCAACCCATGATGAATCTGAATACGATAGTGCGCGCACTCACAAACAAAACAAGAGATGGCTTTTGTTTACCCATCCTGGGTGCTGGTAGTTGGGATTAACTCGGAGGGTACTCAAGCGAGGCACTGAGACATGTCCAACTCCCAAGGGAGTAGGGAGGGGATGTTGCAGAAACGCCCGGAGGCGGTTATCGGCCACCCCACAAAGCTGCCTCGAAACAAAGATGTTCCAGGATTTCAGGTGCTGTGTCACCGAGGAAGCCTTACATCATATTCTTAGGGTTTTTTCGGTAAAGTCACGTAGGTAAAAAATTAACTGTATCAAGTACAGCAATCGTGCTGTGACGGTTCCACCTGAAGACGGAAGCTTGTGTTGCCTCCGAAACGTCGTGATTTTTATTTTATTTTTATTTTACTTTTGATTAATTTTAATTTTTTACCTACGTGACTTTACCGAAAAAAAAATCTAAGAATATGAATCCTTGCAGTCACGAAAGCTTCAAATCTAGCCTTACATCATCCCTGCCACTCTCAAAATGAAGAAACGGGAGCTATTAAACGATGAAGCTACTTTGATTCTAAGTGGATTTTTGTTCTTTTCCAGTTATGAACTACGACGTTTCTGTTGAAGGTGCTGACATTTTTTTCAAGGGTGGGGGGGGGCGTAAAGGATCTAACATGTGGACAACACCAATTTAGGAATCGGTTCATGTTTAATATTGTGATTAATATAGCAGCCTCTGGAGGCTGGAGAGATCACGCGAAGCCATTAACTTACACCATATTCGATTTGCATCGAACGCGAATTTAAAAATCGGTATTGATCGATGCATTGGCATATCGTCACAGCATTCCAATGCACTGTCCGGCACCGCTATATCCAGTTAAAAAAAAAACAACAAGAGTAACTTGGACACATGTCAAAGCAGGTATTGTACACTGATTAAAATGTTGCTTCTTTAGGGACACTGGTCTGTTGGTTTTCATTAGGCTCATCCCCTTTATCTCATGCACCTTAATCTCATGCACCTTTATCTCATGCACCTTTATCTCATGTACCTTTATCTCATGCACCTTTATCTCATCCACCTTTAGCTCATCCACCTTAATATCGTCCACCTTTTCCCGTCATCATTTTGATCCCGGTTCCCCTTCAATGACCGCCCTTAGTGGTATACAGATTATTTTGTTTTCCAATTGTGTTCCTCTGACAGATATCTTCAATATGTTTACAAACTATATAAACTGAGTTTAACACGTAGGCTTTCGCGACCAATATTATTCATAATAAAAGTTTTTGGGTTAGATCACGTAAGTATAAATGTTTCTATTATGGCAAATCACCCGATGATGCTGGATGTAATTACCAGCGAAACGTCGTACTCAAATTGTAAATGTGGATTTACAACACACCGGTGGGCTGAAGTAGTAACTAATTGGCGTTTTGTTTACTGACAAATCCTCTACTAATTGCTGTGTCGGGTGGTGGAGGGTTACGACACATGTATACATGCGATATAACCCAAAAACTTTATTATGAACTATATTTAAAAAATGTGCCACTTCGTTGAGCTATCATTTGTGGCCAGGTCGCATAACTCAGTGGGCCTTACCTTGTAAAATTAAAAAGGAGTTAATATATTACTTTAGTTTGACTGTTAATAAATGGGCTTGGGCAGGACGCGTCGCTAGAAGCGAGGATTGTCGGCGGTCAAGACTAACAACGGAGTGGCTGCCAGGGTAGTAGTAGGTACACGCCCGGGGAAATGAACCACCGCGGAGACGGAACGATAAATCAAATAATGTGCAGGAGCCAGATGGCGAGTGAAAGCCTCTATCTAGCAGTGGATAGATCGTGAATGACACGTCTCCTGCCAATGATCTGAAGGCAACGATGCATGCTCATTTGGCCCAGGTGTTCAGACGTCTTCGCTTTGGTGTAAAATAGCAGAATTTCGCAAATTATTAACGCGGGTTTCCCCGCTCACGCGTTTATTTTGCTCACTACGTTTTCCGGGCTGTGGTCAGCCCACAG